TTTTTTTTTTTTTTAAATAAAAATTTAAATCAGTCGTTCAAATGAAACTCGGCAAAAATTCGAAATATTTTTACTCGGCAAAAAGTGAAGCAAGTTTCTCAAAGGAATACCACGTGACTATCACGCTCCCGCGTGACGACAAATGGAGGACATTACGTTTGAAAAGTTGGCGGTGTAAACGAAGCGTTCAAAAAGGTACGAAGCGAACTGCTAAAAGTTTCGAAACGTTCCAAGGCAGGGTGAAAATGTTTCGTAAAAGGATTGGAATCTCGATTCCAAGTCTAAACGGGACAAATTTCAGCAAATTTTCTCTTCTTCTCGAGTTTCTTTCGTCACGTTCCTCCTTTGAACGTTCCATCTGTTTTTAACGTCCATCTTTATTACCGCGTTCTGATTGAACCAATAAAATCGAGAGACGCGTGTCGTAAAGATGATATAAGCGACTTGGTCGAAGACGTATTAACGGCTAAGCAGCGAAACTTCTGTCTCTTTCTCTCTCTCTTTTCATCGAAAGTTTTTCCACGTACAAGCGAGGTATGAACAAATCGTATCAAGACGTATCGCGTCATCGTGCAATATCACGGATTAAGAGATAACTCGTAAACCACGCGAAGAAGAGTTTTAATCAATTTTACGGTCATCCGTTGGGTAAACTCGTTTTTCCTCGATTAATTGAAAGATCGAGTTGTAATTGCTTCGCCGAGCATAAAAAAAAACTAAAAGGATTCGTTTAACCGGTGAAAAATTCAGCGATTTTCAATTCCTTGTAAATGATTACAATCGAAACGATCCTTTTTTCTTTTCTTTCCTTTTTTTTTTTTGACTCGTTGAAAGAAATATCGAGATGGAAATTGAAATATGGCTGCTTTGAAACGTGAAAAAGAAGAAACAGTTGAAAGTATTCGATCGAGTAATAGAGGAAAATGGAATTTCTTTCAATACGATAATAATTGAAAAAAATATGAACGTTCCTCCTCATTGAAATAGACGCGACGTTGGAAATGGGACGATGAAAAAAAAGACTTGAGAAAAGTTGAAAATCTCGAGGGTGGAGGAGTAATGAAAAATAGAGTACCGAGATGACAAATTCTCTCTTACAATAGGAAAATATGTTTAAATAAAATAGGGAATGCTTTGAAGATGAAATTGTTCGATTATTGCGTTCGACGTTCTATTTCCGTATTCCGGAAAAATTTGTCAATGACACAAAGATCCTCTCTGGAGAGATTTACGTAAGACGAGCGCGAAAAATAAATGAAACGTGAACAATTTTTTTGCGTAAGACTACTCGACGAGAGAGTGGCACGATTACAGTTATTTCTCACAATTCTTCAATTATTCGACGAACGAAAACGAAAGAAAAATTCGCCCTGCGATAAAAGATTTTAAATGAAACTCTCGAGTTTCTTTCTTCTCTCGAGAACTTTAAACGTAAACCCAAAGACGGGTTCATCCCGATTCTCTAACTGGAAAGTCGATTTCTCATTATCGGATAAAAAGTTTCATCGATTCATTCCCGTGCATTCGAGCATTCGTTATTATCCTCTACTCCTTGGCTTCATCTCGAAGCGTGTCACCTTCGATCGCGATGGAAAAACAATATAAAGTTGAAATAAGAAGAAGCTCGAAACAAATTTTCCAAGTTTAATCACCATCGTGCTAATTACCGACCGGTAATCATTAATTATCGCGTCGAGAATTAACGTTTCTCCAAAGCTCCTATTACACAAGACCAACCCCTTTCTAATCTCGTTACTTCGAATACCGGGCTTTATGTAACAAATAGCCGTCTTATAACCTGTATTATTCTCGTTGATCATTCTCCTGGACAAATGGGAAACGTTTCGAGATTTTTAACTTGTTTCGATCTAATTAATTTTCTAAGATAAACGCACGATAAAACAACACAGATACAGAACTCGATCGTTTTCTACTCACCTATTGAACCAATCATCGGTATATCTCGGATAAGGGTAAGGATCATTGCTGCTGAAGTCGTAAGAGGCTTTCGTGTTCTGAAACGAAACGAACAATTTTCTTTATTCCTTCTTCGTATCACGTCCCTTCATTGGAAAGACAAAAGTTCTCGAAACCGATAGAGGGATTCGTTAAGGATTTCTTTCCAATTTTTTTTCTCTTTCTTGTTGAGAGGATGGAACAAAAACACGTTACAATCGAACAACATACGGGGGAAACAAAGATACTCTCGACCATGACAGTCATCGAAATGAAAGAGTCTCCCTAGAGTTGTTCGAATGGACGAGAGACGAGTATTTGAATATTATGCAAGTATAATGTTTTTCTCTCATGTGATTTTTTATACTCGTTAATGGTCTTCTTTGCAACTCGTAATATATGATATATCGTGATATATATTATATATACATTTTCAATTGTACAAATGTATTCCATTGTACGCTGGAAAAATCGCATTCTTTTAAAATTGAATATCAAGTTTTGTACGAATATCGTTTTTCTTTTATAACGAAAAATATTTTATTTTATGGAAGAATCGAATTCGATTTCCTGGAGTGGCGGGCAAGAATTCTATTGACATTTATATCAGTAGTTTTCTTTCTCCACGTCAATCTTTACCCTCCGTGTATTTTTAAAAAAAAATTCTTTTTGTGGCTTCTATCACAATAAAACTTGACAATTATTTTATGCACTTGTTTCTTCGTTTCGCAAATATCGTATTTTCGAATATAAGAAATATATTCCTCGCATATAAAAATAAATTTGATAAATTTGTGTATGAGTAATAAATCAAAATATAAATCTCGCGTACAAAAATGACGAGACTTCTCGGCGTCGTTAATTAATCGAACAAGGATTTGTCTTTTCTATTAATTTTGTTCCCCCATAAATTCTTTATACCCACACACAACAGTCGCCAGACTATTAATCTTCGTCTTGAAAACTACTCCTTCAACCCTCGTTGCATCCATTCTCCTTCCTTACCTGCATCTCCTCTCTTCTCTCCCTCTCTTCCTCTCGTGCCACCCTATTTTTTACCTTCTAATTGAATGACATTGAAAAATTCCATAATCTCTGGATGTTTTAGCATAATGACCGATCGTCTGGCATATTTTACCTCGTCATTTCTCTCAAGGAAAGAAAAAAAACTCAAATTTGCTTTATTAAATTCACTTCAT